CCAAGTCCGGTTATCTGCTGTCAGATCGGGTTCAACCCGGTTCCGTCGTCTCAGACCGGATTCTGGCCGGTTCAGTCCGGCTCAGACCCGGTCCCGGCCGGTTTAGACCGGTTCACTCCGGTTCGGTTAATCCATTGACCAATTTGGTCAACAGTTGACCGGTTTAGGTCAAATCAGACCGATTCAGGTCCGGTTTGGGGTCAATTAGACTGGTTTAGACCGGTTCAGGTCAATCTAGATCTGGTTTAGGTCGATTCACGTCCGGTTTAGGTCAATTGAGTCCGGTTTAGGGCAATTCAGATTAGTTTAGGCTAGTTTAAGTCTTGGTTAGGGTCTGATTTGTCTGGGAAGGGCTAGAATTGTTCGGTTCAGACCAATAGGGTCTGATTGGAGGTGAATTAAGGTCGGTTTAGACTGGTTTAGGTCTAATGTGAGGGTCTGTTCGTCCAATTAGGCTAGAATTAGATCGTACAGGTCAATTGGGTCCGGTATTAGGTAATATCAGATTGTTTTAGGCTGGTAGAAATCTGTTTAGGGTCTGATTTATCTAGTTAGGGCTGTTATTGGTTGTGTTAGGGCCTGAGTTGGTGGGTTTTAGGACTAGATTAGTCGGTTTAGGTTTGAAGTGTACAATTAGGACTAGAACTAATTGGTTTAGGGTTAGGTTAATCGAAATGAGGTCTGATGTGTCTGGTTTAGGGCATAGTGGACTGGTTTAGGGTAGATTAGGGTCTGTAGTGATCGGTTTACTCTGTTAGGTCGGTCTAGTATCCAAATTTGGCTTGGTTTAGTGAAATATACTAAGGATAGACATGTTTTAGATCTCGGTTTAGCTAATGTAGGTCATAGATTCCTGCTTCTGTTCAGTATAGGTCTGAATAGGTTGGATTTGACTACGTTTAATTGGGTAGGAGGTCGGGTTAGGCTTAAATAGGCTGGTACAGGTCTGAAATAGACTGATTTAGGTCTGATATAGGTCTGTAAGTGCTGTTTAGGTCTTGGTTTGGTCTGGTTTAGCCAAATTTGGGTTGGTCTAGCGTATTTTAGGTCTGATCAGCAGGTAATTAAGTCAAAATAGACTTGGTTAGATTTGATTAGAGGTTTAGAATGTCTATAGGGACATTGTCTAGGTCTGATCAGATTAGAATCTGATTGTAGACTTAGGTATTATCTAGTTTAGGACTAGATAGGACTCCTAAGCACCGGTTTTGAGTCATAGAGTCCGGTACTTTGACCGGTTAGGTCTGATTAGTTGGGATTTGACTAAAATGGGTTGATTTAGGGGTTGGTCAAGTCTAGAATCACTAGGTGTAGGTCTGTAGGGGTCGGTTTAGATCAGGGCAGGTCTGTAGGAGTTGGTTTTAGGCATTTATAGGGTCTGATCAGAATTAAATTAGGTCAATTAGGCTTAGTTTAGATCTGATTAGGGTGCTAAAAGTCTAATCAGGGGTTGGTAAGTCATTAGGGTTGGCTTAGGTTTGGTGATTAGGACTTTTAGGTGTCTAACTAGGACTTATGGTCATCTAATCAGGGGTTGGTCAATTAGGATTGGCTTAAGTCTGATTAAGGTGTTGTGGTGGTCTAGTCGGGACTTTTGGTTATCTAACTAGGGCTGTTAGGGTCTAGGTATCACTTGGGTAGGTCTGATTAGGACTTTGTGAGGGACTAGATAGACTCGGGATCGTAGGACTGGTTAGGACTTTGTTGGGGGCCATGTAGACTCGGTGTTATAGGTCTGATTAGACATAATCAGGTCCGGTTAGCCTTAAGTTAGGT